TCTAAATTTTTGTTGCGAATTATGAATGGTGGTGGTCAGAGACACTCTCTTTCAATGTCTGTTTGCGTGTTCACACTGGACACCAAACAACCCTGAATTATCCGCTGCTTGGAGGAATTTCGCGAGATCTTGCCCACAGGGGTGCTGCACTCGGCGGATCGTTTTCGAGCGGCTGCTGCACCACACGTTGTGGTCTAAATTTTTGTTTCGAATTATGAATGGTGGTGGTCAGAGGCACTCTCTTTCAATGTCTGTTTGCGTGTTCACACACTGGACGCCAAACAACCCTGAATTATCCGCTGCTTTGAAGAACTTCGCGAGATCTTGCCCGCAATGGTGCTGCAGTCGGCGGATCGTTTTCGAGCGGCTGCTGCACCACACGCTGTGGTCTAAATTTTTGTTGCGAATTATGAATGGTGGTGGTCAGAGACACTCTCTTTCAATGTCTGTTTGCGTGTTCACACTCCGGACACCAAACAACCCTGAATTATCCGCTGCTTGGAGGAACTTCGCGAGATCTTGCCCACAGGGGTGCTGCACTCGGCGGATCGTTTTCGAGCGGCTGCTGCACCACACGTTGTGGTCTAAATTTTTGTTTCGAATTATGAATGGTGGTGGTCAGAGACACTCTCTTTCAATGTCTGTTTGCGTGTTCACACTCCGGACACCAAACAACCCTGAATTATCCGCTGCTTGGAGGAACTTCGCGAGATCTTGCCCGCAATGGTGCTGCAGTCGGCGGATCGTTTTCGAGCGGCTGCTGCACCACACGCTGTGGTCTAAATTTTTGTTGCGAATTATGAATGGTGGTGGTCAGAGACACTCTCTTTCAATGTCTGTTTGCGTGTTCACACTCCGGACACCAAACAACCCTGAATTATCCGCTGCTTGGAGGAACTTCGCGAGATCTTGCCCGCAATGGTGCTGCACTCGGCGGATCGTTTTCGAGCGGCTGCTGCACCACACGTTGTGGTCTAAATTTTTGTTTCGAATTATGAATGGTGGTGGTCAGAGACACTCTCTTTCAATGTCTGTTTGCGTGTTCACACTCCGGACACCAAACAACCCTGAATTATCCGCTGCTTGGAGGAATTTCGCGAGATCTTGCCCACAGGGGTGCTGCAGTCGGCGGATCGTTTTCGAGCGGCTGCTGCACCACACGTTGTGGTCTAAATTTTTGTTGCGAATTATGAATGGTGGTGGTCAGAGACACTCTCTTTCAATGTCTGTTTGCGTGTTCACACTCCGGACACCAAACAACCCTGAATTATCCGCTGCTTGGAGGAATTTCGCGAGATCTTGCCCACAGTGGTGCTGCAGTCGGCGGATCGTTTTCGAGCGGCTGCTGCACCACACGTTGTGGTCTAAATTTTTGTTTCGAATTATGAATGGTGGTGGTCTGAGACACTCTCTTTCAACGTCTGTTTGCGTGTTCACACTGGACACCAAACAACCCTGAATTATCCGCTGCTTGGAGGAACTTCGCGAGATCTTGCCCACAGGGGTGCTGCACTCGGCGGATCGTTTTCGAGCGGCTGCTGCACCACACGTTGTGGTCTAAATTTTTGTTTCGAATTATGAATGGTGGTGGTCAGAGACACTCTCTTTCAATGTCTGTTTGCGTGTTCACACTCCGGACACCAAACAACCCTGAATTATCCGCTGCTTGGAGGAATTTCGCGAGATCTTGCCCACAGGGGTGCTGCAGTCGGCGGATCGTTTTCGAGCGGCTGCTGCACCACACGTTGTGGTCTAAATTTTTGTTGCGAATTATGAATGGTGGTGGTCAGAGACACTCTCTTTCAATGTCTGTTTGCGTGTTCACACTCCGGACACCAAACAACCCTGAACTATCCGCTGATTGGAGGAATTTCGCGAGACCTTGCCCACAGGGGTGCTGCACTCGGCGGATCGTTTTCGAGCGGCTGCTGCACCACACGTTGTGGTCTAAATTTTTGTTTCGAATTATGAATGGTGGTGGTCAGAGACACTCTCTTTCAATGTCTGTTTGCGTGTTCACACTCCGGACACCAAACAACCCTGAATTATCCGCTGCTTTGAAGAACTTCGCGAGATCTTGCCCACAGGGGTGCTGCAGTCGGCGGATCGTTTTCGAGCGGCTGCTGCACCACACGCTGTGGTCTAAATTTTTGTTGCGAATTATGAATGGTGGTGGTCAGAGGCACTCTCTTTCACTATCTGTTTGCGTGTTCACACACTGGACGCCAAACGACCCTGAACTATCCGCTGCTTGGAGGAATTTCGCGAGATCTTGCCCACAAGGGTGCTGCACTCAGCGAGTCGTTTTCGATTTCTGGTGCGCATACCAATGCTGGAAACAGGGCGAGGAGCAGGTTAAACTTGCCTTTGTCATTTTGGTCGAGTGTATCGGCCTACTGGATGGCGGGCAGGATCCCCCGATCAGCTCATGGATTTTGGCAGGTCCCTACTGAATACATTCCTGACGCAGCTCACGATTTTATCCGATCCCGGCTTCCGGCTTTCCAAACTGCGTTCCCGTCTTCACACTGCTGTTCACCAGACCGATACCTATGCGAGGGCAGCCCATCCTCTCGTCGATCGGCGAGTAACCCAACGTACTTTGCGATGCCAACAATGTCATGCCTATGGACACGATGCGTCTATATGCAATGTGCGCCCGAGAGGGAATTAATTACATTATAGGCGTCCATCAAAAAACGGCAGAGGGGATGCTGCACGCCGCTCATGAATGCTGACGACGGGAGCGCCATCCAATCCGCCACCTCCCACCAATCCTCACAGGCAGCGCACCGCGCCATCGATGCTCCACCCGATCTTTCAAATTGCCCGACGCAATCGTCGGGAAGGGCAATGGAGCTTATCCACCAACGACGCTCGACTGTGGTACGACGAAACACCGGCGGTTCCGCTTTGGGCCAGTTATATGAGGAAGGCAAAAGAGGTCGTTCGAGAGATGTGCGCGCCGTCAACGTGGGAGCAGAGAATGTCCCTAGCGGGGCAATTCACAACCTTTTGCCGCACGAACGAACAGCCGATGGACAAGGAGAGTTGTGCGGTCTTTTTGATGGCAATCGAGGTGGCGCCATCGACCCGACTGCAGTACGACAGGATGCTGCGGTCCATGTTGCAAGTGAATGGAACCCCGCTGGATATGGCGGCTTTGAGGTTACAAAAAGTTGCTGTGCGATCGGAGACGAGGCAGACGAGGCAAGCGCGCCCCTTGACAGAGGAAGAAATGAATCAAGTTATCTGCAGCCGGACCGATTGGAAGGAACGTGTTGTCGTACGACTCGCGTGGATAACGGCGAGTCGTTTGTTTGAGATTGCGGTCTTGACTCCCAACAATTTCGCACTGAAGGCGGACGGGGCCTTAATTTTGGACTGGTCCCTGGCGCCGAAGACGGCGAGGGCGGATCCCCACCGCGCCTTTCGGTTCGTCAGGATGCGAGGGCAGGATGCGTTAGACACTATAAAGCTATGCAGGACACTTCAAGAAAACGAAAAGCTCACGAATATTACTAATGCCAAAGTCGAACGAGCTTTGGCTCCTTGGGATGCCAAGGCGCATTCCATAGAACGCGGTGCGTTGAGGCACGCTGCTCAAATCGTGGAGACATACAATTTGAACCCACACGTGATCTCGCAGTTGGCGAAGCACGTCGACCCGTTCGACCTTCCCCAGAATACTGTTCGATATTTGTGGAGGTACACCACACTGCTGACCCAGGTGTCGTCGCTGGTCGCATTGATGTGAAGGAAGGAACGGCGGAAGGGCAAGAACCCTGGCTGAGAGCAGAGGAGCGTTTTTTCCATGATTTTTATCACAATCATGCTGCTACAATAACGAGACGCGCGACAAGGACGCGTCCGGCCACTCCACAAGATGAACACGCTATCCCGTTACAGCAAGTCAGCGTGCCCGTATTGAACTTAGAGTGGATTAAAAGTCGGTTGAAACCGGCCACCTTGGAGAGACTCATGCAATTTTGGGGACTCGTCGGGCGGTCCCCTCTCCCTCCGTCTTCCTCCGGTAAAGCGCGCGAAGGCTCACGGAGAATTCCAACCGCTGACGCGAGATTGTTACGAAAAGCGGGAATAATCGAGGACGGTTCGTCCACAATAACAGGCGGATGGATAATACCTTTCTCGGTTGTGGACGAGAAAACCACCGGTTTACGACGACGATGGATCGCGTGGCCACGCGACAAGAACAGAGACGACCCTTATGAGGCTAATGTTCCTCTTTTACATATTTCCCATTATTTGCCGCCTGTGATGGCTGAGGCCGCTTCCTGCCTGGATGTGAAGGCATCCTTTTTCTCATGTTTCTTTACCGCGGGAGACTCGGCATCTCTTTCGGTGCCGCGTGGAGGACGGCACGCTGGTGGAGCTGACACGGCTCCCTATGGGATACAAGGCCGGCCCAGAAATTCTCCAGATTATTACTTCGGCGATTGCCGGGGTGACGACGGTGGTTCACCCCCTCTGGGCCGCACCTCCATCGGTGCGTGTCGACGTATGGATCGATAATATACGCATTGCAGGGTCGAAAAGCAACGTGACATTGTGGGAGGCCCAAGTGCTTCGTAATGCGGACAGGCGTCACGCCACGATAGGGGAAGGCCGCGAATCGGGCGCCACGCAGTGCACCTTTCTGGGGGTGCACTTTGATCACACACACCGGGCGGTGTCCCTGAGTGACGAGTTTGTCCGGTCTGTACGCGCCATGCCGGCGCTCAATTCTTTAACCATCGCGGAAATGGAGATTATGGCGTCACGCTTTTTGTACGCGGCGGCCATTTTGTGCACGCGTTAATGCGACTACTATCTTTTCATCAAGGCAGTGCGACGACGATTGTCCGCACTTAACCGGGGAATTGTGCCGGAGACATCCCCGGCGAACCTACCGCCGTCAGCGGTTGTTTTGGGCGAGAGATTGCGACACACCATCGAGAACAATCGTAAGCGAATCATCAAGCCCACGGAAAAGGCATCGGCTGCCATCATCACGGACGCATCGCTCCATGGATGGGGAGCCGTTTTTATTCCAGACTTCGGCGACGTTAAAATTGCCGGAGGGAAATGGGAGAGGAAACCTTTTCTCATCATGCAGGCCGAGGCACGAGCGGTACGCTTGGCCTTATCGGCCTTTCCGCCATCTTGCCATCCACCATGGACGTTTGGGTGGACAACACTTCGCTGCAAGGAGCGGCGAATAAAGGCAGCTCAAAATCGCACGCCATGACGTGGGAGCTGCAACGGATATTTGAGTTTTTGGACTCTCGCGGAATACAGGCATCTTTTGCATACGTGCGGTCTACAGAAAACCCCGCAGACGGCATATCACGCGGTCGTGTGTTTACACTTCAGGACTTGGCGAAGGGGAGCAGCGGAGTCTTGTGGTTGGAGGACCCCAAAGTCTGCCACTTCGTAAGTAATAATATTTCAAATCCTAACTGAGGACAAAGAACCATGCTAATGGTCCACAGAATTTTATATATTGAATGAGAATAAAACATTGAAGCAATTAACTAAAGAACCTTTTTTCCTAACTTGTTTGGTTTCCATAGATATAACTTCAGGATCCGGCCAGCTGCCTGGAAGATTATTCTGCGGGCAATATCTATACAAAAACACATGCTCTTATTGTGCCGCTTGGGAAATAAAATAAATGTCCTGCCGAATGAATTTATTTATTCTTTCCGAGAGTCCTGCCGGACACTCAACTTTTGTTTTCCTTGCTTAACCTATGGTTTGCAGTGCGGTGTGCGCTGCTGCTGAAGTGTTGCCGTTTTTCACCGTGCGGTGGCTGTCCGTGGTGTGGCGGCCGTGTTTCTCATTTCTTTTGCTCTGCTTTGACGGGGAGTTTGTTTGTGCTGAGGGCGACACGCAAGTGACAGGAGTGATGGCGATGATGACTGGCCGTGTGCTGCTGGTGTGTGCCCTCTGCGTGCTGTGGTGCGTTGCCGGCAGATGTCAAGAAACACTCTTAGTTTCTCATTCTGATGTGCCCGGTGCAATTGAGGGGGACGGAGGACAGCCACAGGGTTCATCAGGCTTTAAAACGCCAGAATCACACGCACCAGGCTCAGAAGCCTCAGTACGAGAGGTTCAACAAGAACAAGATCCGTCCCCACCTCGTGAAGAAACTCATTTAGGAACCAAAGGTGGTAATAAGGTAGAAAAGGCAAAAGAAAAAGGTGCTGCCAAAGACGCTGGAAAAGAAGGGGAAGTGGATGGAAAAACTATTGAGCTAAAAAAGCCTGAAGACAAACTGACGTCTGTGGAGGGCCAGCAGTTGAATAACAATGAAGGCTTGCAGCCGACAACATTGAATGGACCTCATGGAGTTGAAACGACAACACCATCAAGAGACAGTTTGCCAGCTCGTGAAGATCAACAAGATTTGTCGAGTTCTCTGCTGCCTCCGTTACACAACACCTCACCGGGTGGAACTCCACCATCCACTCCTGCAGCTGGCCGTGCTGACACAAAAAGCCACGAAAACGACATTGGCAAGAAGAATTCTCAACAGTCTGTGGTAGGAGAAATTGGACAGAACAATGACACCGGCGAAAAAGCTGTCGATTCAACGGGTGAAGAAGAAGGTTCACGATTGTCAGTCGCGACAGCTGAAGAAATGAGTGAAACAACAACGAAAAGCGACAGCGGCGGCACCGCGACAACTACAGCTGTGGGGACTGACATTGGCACAGAAGAAACTCCGCCCACCAATCATCCGAGCAAACCCTCCACTGAGGGCGCCACACCACCCGGAACGACTTCCGATGGTGAAGCCGCATCAACCAACAAATACGATACAGTCTCTCAGAATGCAGGTTCCACAACAGCAGCAACCACAAACGCCACAACAGGTGACACGGCGAAGAGAGGCGACAGCGACAGCAGCACCGCGGTCTCCCACACCACCTCCCCTCTTTTGCTTCTTGTTGTTGTTGCGTGTGCTGCTGCGGCTGCTACAGTGGTGGCCGCGTGAGAGTGAGTGTGGGAGAGCCATGCACCGCCCGCACACACACTCTTCCTTCTCTCTCTGTGTGTTTCCCCTTGCATGGACTCTCGCCCTCACCTCACCCCACGAGGCACACACAATAATGTGCCCATTGTATATATGCATGCACACCCATGCAGGCCCGTTGGTGCTCTCTTTTGCACGACACGCACCGCTGCCGTCCTGCCTGGCTGCATGGGCGGAGCACCGTAACTGTTTCTGTTTTGTTTTTATTGCATTGAGTGGGCGACCTCTCTCTCCCTCTGTGTGTGTGTTTTGCTTTACGGGAGTAATGAGAGTGTGTGTGCGCTGGTCGTCCCACGCTTCGTTTCCTTGTTCTTGTTTTTTCTTTTTTACTTGTGTTGTGGTTGAGTGCACACATTGCACTTTCTGATCGGCTGCATGCTTTGGATGCGGACACTGGAGTTTTGTTTTTATTTTTCTATGTTTTTGTTTTTGTTGAGGAAGCGCCAGTTTCTTGTATTCTTGTAAAGTCATTAAGATTGTCTTTGGCTTATGAAATGAGTCCTTTGATTCACGTCACCATGCGGTCTGCATCGCCTCTGGTGCTGCTATTGATGATCTGTGCGATGTGATTTGTCGGCGGATGTCCTGCTTTCATCCTGAAGTATTCCTTATTTCGAGACGATGTGGTGCGCTCCCACAGCGAGGTTTATCTCGTTTACGGTGAGGAAAATGCGTCTCAGGGCGCTGGACGCTTTGCGGATGTGCAGCGGGGTCCGGAGGGACCG